TCGTATATATATGCCGCATTACATTTATCGTTTTATTACCAGCTTTTTCATGTTGTTATTTTTTCTTTTATTTGGTTATATACGTACGTAATGAAAAAGATAATATAAAACTTCTATTTCGTTTAGTTTTATATAAAAAACATAAATAAAAATTATTAATATATTAATGCAAATAAAAATATTTACTTTTTAGTAAAAAAAATTATTTGGAATGTGCTAAAATAAATCTTCATACGAAATAAACCTACACGGTAAATCACTCTTTTTTTTAATGAATTACAATTACATTTTTGGTAAAGTTTTCTTAAGTTTACTATATTACATTTTATTTACGTTACTTAGGACGACATAAATTGTGAAAACTTATTGGTAGCTTATGCTACTCTCACACCTGATTCGATTGAGGGACTCACCACATTTATTCAATAAGTGCAAAAAAGACGTCTTGCGTTTCGCTCCGCTCGGTTTTTAAAGTTTTGTTTTGTTTGTTAATTACACACTGAAAGTAATTCTAATTGTGTGAAAACACTAAGAGTGAAATAAACTTAACATCTTAAGGCCACGTGTATATCAACAGGTACTTACAAAATATGTGCTGTGATTTATACCCCGACAATATTCTTCACTATGACCACGTAAACGCCCAGTGCACATTTAATGAAAATATCGCATTCAAATTTAACGCTACAAATATTCTATTTAATATCATCGTAGGGTATCTATACTTCGTTTCGATCCATTTTAAACAAAAAGTAAACAAACAAGTCACTGACCCGACCATGGATGGTTTAGTGATGGACTATTGTAATGCCAACTAAAAATCGATTATTTAATTGAATGAATCGATGTGTTCAATTGAGTCATACTATCGGTTTTCCTTACATAACCTATAGAAGTATATTTAATAATTTAAATCCTCCTTCAAATTCTTACACTTAGATACTCGTTCGATTACGTTTGAAATATTCGATTCAATAATCGGTTACAAACTTTCATTGATTGAACCGAATGTTTTTTTTTTCGAACAGCACTATGCAACCATAGGCAAGTCATAGAAGTATAGATGAATAATAACCTCACTTTTGGACTACCATTTTTCAAATACGATTTTACTATGCTATGCAAATGAATGTTGTTGGAAAAAGTGATGAGATATCAAGTTGAAATCTTCAAAATATTCGTGGAAGTGTTACTTATTCGATTTATTGAGTGGTTGCTTTAGAATCTTAACCAAACAGTTTTGTTTACCTTTTATTCAAAATGGATTGGACTATACAGACTATAGTAAAATACGTTTTTTATACAAAACAGAGGGCATACGTACTTGGGCCTGAAGGAAATAAGTAATTATATTTAGTTCATTATAAAGTACATTGGGCGTTTAGCGCTTTTTCATTGCAGTTTACTGGGTGGTTAATACAATTAATATTTTTTCAAAAAAACTTATTATTATATTATATCTCTACGAAAAAGGAAATTTTGATAATCTTTGAGACAATTTGAGACACACAAATTGCACAAAACATTAATTTATAGATGATACTGGAAATATTATTTGGGGCAAAGAATGTTATCAGTCACAACGGCTTATCAATCGATTATGTTTCAATACCTGTAGTGTTAGTACTAAAAATGTACACTTATTAGTGTGTACTTATACATGTATGGTCACGGCAAACTTAGACCAGTATAGCAATCGAAATTAAATTGCAGGCACATGGGACTCGTCAACTCATGTCTCAGGGCAACAAGCGCAGTGGCAATGTCCCTCGGATCTTTGCGATTTAAAGCTGAGTGGCACTGCAACTGCCATGGACAGGAGTGTCAATTAACACTACGCGTGCTTCTTATTATTCGTCCTGTCACTTGGTATGATAAAAAAAATCGCGAATACCTATGAAGTCTATATTATTATGTAATATAATGCATTGCGCAAACTAGACTAAGGTGACTGATATAACATAGAAATAGTACCCTCTCGCGATACAGCGATGTACCTTTTTTCTTTCTTTCCGGGGGAAAATCCGTCATGGATACCACCGCGTCACGGGGAGTTGGTTATGTGAGACTCCTACTCACTAAAATCACCCGGGTATTCCCACACTCCGCATGGGACGGGGCTGTGGCCACGTGGTTTACGATCCACGGCCCCGCCTGCGGTTGTCCGGGACTACGGATCCACCTCTAGGAGACTTTACCGTCCCCACTCCGTCGTTAGTGGCATGTTGGGAATACTTGGCATGCCAACCAACCCGTGAACCCTTGCCCAGTGAGGGACAAAGCCCCCGTTTTGCCCCAGGGTTCACTGTCAGGGCGGTAGTAGGCGCCTGCGCCCTAAACGTTTGCGGCGCATAGGATGAGAGGAAGGGTCTTTCTCTCGCTCCCGCTCCGCCGCCTCTTTCCGCGACAATACATCGGTGCAGAAGGAGGCCACCGCACTACACGCCCTCTCGCTGCCGACCATGCCTCGCACCACGGTCGACAGGGATAGGACGATACAGCGATGTACCTAACTTAATCATTTTTAACCATGAACAACCTAGATTGCGAAACTAGTTATACAATTTGATATGAATTATTTCTGTAGGGCAAAATACTATAACGACCAAAACTCTACTGGACTTCAATATTTCAATTCAATGTTATTTTCTTACAGCTGGTAGGCGCAACCTTCATAGGCATAGGCATAGCGGTACTAGTGGCACTGGATAAAATTACTGATCTTATACCGGCAATCAACACAATCCCCATCTTGGTAATTGTGATTGGCTGCATCATCTTTTTAATTGCCTTCTTTGGATGCTGTGGAGCTGTTAGGGAGAATGGATGTCTCCTTATTATGGTAAACTTTATTATATTATCCTTAATAATCACTTGTCTCTGACGATTACCGTGGACTTGCATACCGGTTCTCATGGTGTCGCCATCTCTGAGGTCCCTGGTTCGATCCCCGGCCGGGTCTTTGTAGAGAAGCTAATTTTTCTATGTTGTCTCGGGTCTGGGTGTTTGTGGTATTGTCGTTGTTTTCAATTTCCATAACACAAGTTCTTTAGTTACTTACTTTGGGATCGACCAACACATGTGATGTTATGTAATATTTATTATTCATATTTACGTGTTAAATTGTAAGATATATGACTGTATTAGCTGCCTCCATGGCCGAAAGGTCACCATGCTGGACTGCCACGCAGAGGTCCCGGGTTCGAATCCCAGGCCGGGAGAAATATTTGTAGGGCCTATATTTACTTCTCTCGTGAGTTTCTCTAATTTATCGTTGTTTATGTGTGTTCATTGCACCCGCGATACAAGGTCACCCTAGTGCAGGGCTATGAGTGTGTTCATTAAAAAAATGGTTCAACATAACTTCCAAAATAAAAGTTAGGTACCCTAATCGGATTACGAATATGGCATGCAAACCGGTTACTCAGTTAACCGTAAAATACTAGCAACCGTTCATTTTAGAACCCGGTTTTCAGCTAAGGAAAATCCGGGTTTTTCGGAATTTTCGTTATCTTAAAGTATGAAAACGTAAATTCGTAACTCATAATATCATCGTATCAATATATGATAAGCGCTAATTTAATACTAGGAACTCGGGTGCCTGATAACTGTGCAGCGACAACATTCGCCATATAAGTGCACCGGTGCAGGTAATCTTTTGGAGGTGCAGGTAATCTTTTGGTAGCGAGGGGCGCGTGCGCAAGCAGTCTAACAACAAATAGGCTCTGAATATGCATATTTATTTTAAAATATTAACGTTGTTGATTTCTTTTTTATTATAATTAGTTTTAACTAACAAAAAAAGAAAAGTATGTAATAATGAAATCTATTAAAATTACGTTGTTTTCAATTATTATTCCGCATTTTCATGAAGAAAAAGAAATAAAACAAACTGAGGCTTGATAGTCACGTAGTGAATTCGGACCCATAGTCTAGTGTCAACTGTTAGTTTCGCCAAGGAGCATATAATTTTACGAAATAAACATCGCGTGTTTTTATTTTACTATAAATTATTTCCTATGTGCTATTAAATAACAAATAAACAAAATATTGAAGAGATATATGTAAATAAATAACTTCAACTTAACTTTTCATCATTACAAATCAATATTAAGACAATAAAACTAAAATTAATATTGTTTCCATTGCATTCGTGTAACTATTTTAAGATTGCTAAATTTGACATAAGAGCAATAATTACTTTAATGTCAAAGTCGCGTCATAGTATGAACTGAGTGAATGAATAGTCTCAAAGCTGCCAATAAAACATCATAGTTTTAACATTACAAATAAGCTTACTTTAAGCACGTTGTGGTACGAAAAGTCAATGTAAGATTAAAGTAATATTGTTTTAAGAGGTTCCCTATGGCGCTGGTCTTCAGTCAGAATCAACGAGAGTGACTAAATATACAAGTTATTTGTAAAAACAGATATAACAAACGGCTAGGAGTGAAATCGTTCATTGAAATAATAAATGTAATAAAGTGTGAAAAGTGCATCTAAAATAAGCTATCGATATGTAAATGCATGTATTGTTATGAAAATATATGAAATTATGATTGTGAATATATTTTAGTGTAATACTTAAGTCAAAGTAAAAATTAATTTTAGAAAAGCCACGAAAAATAGTTCATGGGGTATGTGAAAACTAATGTTAGTAAAATTGAAATAAACCAGACAGATTTTTGCAACAAGATTAAGGTGTGCGTACGTGTGTGTATGGTCTACTTTTCTGTGATAAAATCAATGATCTGAATAGGTTATTCCAAGTTTGTACATAAACGTCTATATATAGATGCAAGGAGTGACATGGGGTGGTTAGTGGTAACCACCAAATATTTATTAATTACTTAAGTTTTGCATTCCACGAATAAAAAAGTATCTACTATATGCCTTAATCTCAATGTGACTGTCTCTGAAGGTGCAAAAGCACAGAGACAGGTGAACCAGTGCGATGCCGCAGACTGGGTTACCTGACACCAGATTGCGCCACACGACGCCGACAAGTGTACTTCGTGTAGATTAGTTGTTAATTTTTTATACTACATTACATGTAAGTTAGTCCTTAAGGTATATGTTACTTGGGTCATGTTGCCAGATTTAAATGAATAAATAACAAATAAATTAAAAATTATAAAATTTAAAAATAAATTTCCGCCTTAGTTAAAACAAGCTTTTCATATAGCTCGGAAAAAAGGTTTACTTTGGTGAAAGTTTTATTATCTAGTACATGTTTTACATTGCGCCATTAGAATTAGTTTAAAATCGAATTTTAAAAACTTAAAAACTTGAGTTAAAAAAAGTTTGAAAACTTGAACTTCCTTGGTTAGTTTACATGCAGTAAATCTATTTTCGGAAATAGAAAATTCGAAGAGTAATTCATCAATATTTGGTGGTTTTAACCACTCCATATCACTTTTTGTACCTATATGAATAGACATTTCACTACTTATTTTGGATTGGAACACCCTATTCCTACGTTTGCATTTCATTGACATGAGACTACTCAGTCAAACAATTAGTTATATATTTATTTATGTTTGATTATTTTCAGTACGCCGTATGTATGCTCATAATGGCAGGAGCAAATATTTGGCTGGCGGTGGCAATATTTAACAACTTGAATGGGCTAATGAACACGATCGAAGAATGGGTCGACACCGCATTCCAGCAACATGGACAAACTCTAAATGGCATGTTCAGGGCACTGGAAGAACTAGTAAGTATTTTTATTGGAATATGCTAGTCGAATCTCGTACCAAACACAGAAAGTTTATAGATATGGAGAGATTTATCTATTTTCTTCATCGGTTACCAGCTGTTTCATTATGAGGCTTTTGTCGAGAAGCGGCTAGCAGGAAAAACTATGGTAAATGGAATGATATATTGGAAACAATCACGTTGATTTGTTAAGTTCACTAGACACAACGCGGTCGGTACACTTTGGTATTTTATTTTTAATGATATGTGTTTTTGATAATAGTCTCACTGTTAGTGTAGAGGCATTTCTGAAGTTCATATGTACTTTTGCGCCGAATCCCTCCCATTGGTATATCCCATTAAATTACCATAAATAACTTTCAGTTACGATGCTGCGGAACGACCGGCAAGGAGTCCTATAACGACCTGCTGTTCATCCCGTCGTCCTGCTGTCCATTAGAAAACTGCGATAACGCAGACACCTACTACGACGGGTGTTCGGCGAAGTTCACCGAATACCTAACCAATTTTGGAAATATTGTTGGCTATATAGTCATTGTCGTTATTTGTATTGAGGTGAGTAGGGTTTTAAACTTTTACGTGAGAATGAAAAATCACGAAAACTTTCACAAATTAAATTAGTCTATAAAACGCTACTTAAGCTTCACCTAAATGTTCCTACACGTAGTACAATCATAAATTTTTACTTCACCATAAGGGCAACAAAATATAGTTAATATTGCAAAATAATGTTGTAAATAAATATATTAAGTACAGTATCTAATGCAGGTCGTTTGTGAAAATTTCTTTTAAATTTCAGGTCTAAGACGAGCATGGTAAAGACAATGTGTTATTTTTTTTACATTTTTAACTTCATTTCAAAACAAACTTGCACATTATGCTCGACATTACATTTGATAAGCCAAGCGTTTGCAATCCCAATTACCTAATATATTTGTTATTATTAGTAACTCAATAATGTCCTTTTCTGTTTCAGGTTACCGCGATGATCTTTGCACTGTTCCTGAACAGTCGGATCTCTAAAGCAAAGCGAGGTTACTAAACCAGACGTCATTTGTTCAATAAAATGAGAAATAAGCCCCTCCGGCGTACTGTCACCGAACGTTTTAAAAATTATGATGATCTTCTATTATCTTTTATTGTATCTGTATTTCAAAGATATTTGGGAAAGTAACACAATTTAACTTCTGGAACGATATCATACACAATATTTGCTACCCGCTCTGAAAACAAGCAACGGACTCTTGGTCGTGTTGTACCGAAGGCCATAGACCTCTCTGCGCCAGCAGAGCAGCAGAGCTCACAAATGGCTTACGAAATGCACCCGTCAAAGGACTCGGCAACACCATATCATCTACATAACTATTGGTAACGATATGTGGTCCCAAAAACTGAGTATCCGACGTCAACTTTGTTTCAGGCTAACAGACGCAGTGGCAGTGACCATGCACTGCAAGTGCTAGGGTAGCTGTGTCGCTTACCACCAGACGCATCCCATCACTTAATATCATGAAAAACATGAATGACGTTGTGCCGCCCTCCTAACGTAATTGTGGTGGTTGTTATACCAATAGCTAACGATCGTAATTATATCACCGAGGTCAGATTCATCTCAGCTTACTCCATAAGTTTTAATACGTGTTTACGTGGCCTGCCGGAATACAGTCGCAACGCCCTTAGCCGTGGAGTGGACGTAATGTGGTTGCCCCACAGAACAATAAATACAGTAGAAATGCTTAGTGGGCATGACACGTGCGCCAACAGTACGCCGAGTTCTACATACTGAGCTCTACTACATATTGAGCTCAATCTGTCATTTTCGCTTTGTACGTTACGGTCATGTCAATTATCTCAAGCAAAACCTCGAAAATCGTGGAAGTATGCGTCATTTTACTATTGTGAAGTTAAAAAATGATATCTGTAATATTATCCTTGATGGTGTTTCATATCATCGATAAGTATTATTTTATTTAATTTTAATAAATTTTTAATCTTCTACTCATTGTAATATTTTTTGTTAAAAAAAAACGAAAGTAAACCTTATGGCGCTGCAATATGGTAAACTTTTTTCGTCGTCTCGTAATCTTTCAGCTAATGCCGTTAGATGGTAGCACATCGAATGAAATTTAAGTATATAACATTTTGTATGATATATAATCAAAATGACGTGACTTGCAATAATATGTCAACTGAGTAAAGTTTAAATAATATTAACAATCCATAATTGGTTACTTTTTTAAAATTAGAAACTCCAATCATTATTAGTTTTCACGGTGTTCAACATTATGATTGTGTGAGTTTTAACGAGATCGGTTCTAATAGTATCGAGGCTTAAGGGACTTCCATTGCTTTTTTTCGGCGGGTTGCCCATTGCCAACAAAGTCCAGGGACTAGCCGCGGGTTAAAGAGCGACTTCTCTAACTTCAAAGTGCGATCTAAATAATTTCATTATTTGGTCGATCTCAGTCACACGTTCAACACTGACAGATAGGCTAGACTTGGTATTTAGTAGAACCTTTAGATTTGGTAGAAAAGGAAAACATACGCAAACGAGGATTAAGACAATCTTGTTTCTTATCTGTTCTTGTGTAGTACTTGTTATACTTCGTAACATTTATTTTGTTTCTAGGTTCGACTTAACATTTAATTTTTAATCCTCCCCATTGGGTGATATGAAACTTTGGCAACCATACGTAAGTCCAAAATCAATATGTGTTATTGGTACTCGTGTCTTGGTGCTGCTTCAAGGAAAAGGTTCACGAAAAAACCCTCGACGGTATACAGCAGTGTTGTGAATTTGGACGCACATGATGACTATGTAAAGATGTAGTATCTTCAACCAGTACTGCTGCCAGGAATAAATAGACACGATATGAAATTCGATACACGCACAGTTCTGATGACAACACAAAGATATGGTTCAACCACAGTTTTATTGTAATAATGTCGTAAACCTGATGCTGCTATCAGGATCGTTCCATGAACTAGGAACTTTTCAACATAGGTGCCGACCTTGTTGATATCTCTTGAGTATTAAATGATTCTACATACAGGGTAATTTTAGTGTTTATAATTATACGCTCGTAGAAGCATTCTGCAATTAGCTTGAGCTATTAATTGCTTAATAAAACGTTACTTATTGATCTATCGTCGCCTTAGAGTGAAAATCTCCCATACGGGTTTTTTTTTACGTAGTTCGTTTTTACTGATTTTTGTTAGATAAATACTTTAAAATATATTATTAAAGCAATATAGTATCTGATAGAGGTATAATTGAACTAATTAAAATGTTAACTACAAACATTATTGCATTTACTACATTTTACACCACATTTTTATTTTCGTCCTGAAAAATTACGTAGAAATCACATAATATGAGGTATTGACTCTAAGACCAAATCGCAACCATTCCGAAATAATAGGATAAAGTTGAAATTACGTTATTTCAATTATATCTCGCAACGGTTGTAGTATGGAACCGAGTTGCCATGATATTTCTTTGTTTCCATGCATAACTCCAAAATTAATAAACTATGTCATTTGGCGCCACTCGCCCTTGGAAATGTTTTTATTTTAATTATCTATTTAACACCTAGCTTGATTAGATGGAGTCATCATGTTCCTTACTAAAAACAATGAAAATAAATTATCTGATTTTTTAATTTATATAAAATAGACTAATGTTTAGCCACAATGATGATTATAAGAAACGATGTAACTGACGATGGCACGCGTTTGTGGAAAAATTGCAAATTCGCTCTAGCCTTGAATTGTCCTAAATTTCAATTTTTACACAGAAAATACAGATATATCGGTAGCGTATTCCATTTTTTTGGCTGTACGCATTATGGGCTATTCAAACAAGCAGTACCCGCTACAACTGTGTGTAGCGAAAGCGCGGTATCCCTCCTGGTAATTGTATGAAATTCCGCAGCTACAGCGAAACCAAGATTCCGCGTTCCACTGCCTCTGTTGACGGTATCCCTTAGCTCGGTAGCAGCGGCAAATTCATCCCCTCCTCACACGCGGGGTGTGTCAAGTCAGTGACGATTAATTTGTTGACATAGGAAGGACTCATTAGTGATCAAGAGACAGTAGTAGCAGTAGAGCTCCATGTGAAAGAGTTCTTCCAGGAAAGTACTAGTACGAGTAAGGTGGGGACCTTGCCTAACTCTACTGCCGAGCAGTAATGCGAGCATTACTGCGTTCCGGTTGTGAAGGGTAAAGTTGTTCATCCCGTCGTTTGATTTCATAAAAAAGACGCCGAAACAGGTAAAAGATAATTTATGGAGTTTATACGCTACCCACGGTTATAATGTGGTTTTATTTAATGACGTCACAGAAGTAATTGTCTAGACGGGTGAAAATCAAGAAAGTTTCGTATATCGCTACGGTGTAAGAATACCGCATACACACTCGGATATCGCTATCGAACATCGCGTATATCTGAAAAGACCTTTAGCAAGGATGATAACGGTCCCATCTCTAGCAAATCGGATGGAATTGAAAGTTTTTATAGTCCTATTCCGTATACGAACATGATTTGATAGTATCATTTATATGAGTATTTGTAAAAGTAACTTACGCGAATAACATATCTCGACGTTGCATTTGAGTGCACCCGTTTGCTAATAAGTAGTAGCCAACGGAAGAAAAAAGAAGAATGGAAATGGCATCATGCAACATTTTGTATCAAAACCGGTGTCGCCATACGCACACATTTCAAAACGTAATCTTACATTAGCACTAAGATAACATAATTTTGATTGGCTATAATTTTTCAAACGGAAATAGACAATAATAAAAATGTTTTGGTAAAAAAAAACAAACTTATTTGGATCTAATAAGGTTTTATTATTACTAGTCACTTAAAAGCTAAGAATCCTATGAACACAAACTTGGAACAAAAGCAAAAAGTTGACAATCTACAGATAGGGATGTGACATGTAATTGATATCGACATTATGTTTCATAACTAGCGGAATATTGAACTAGGCATTGCTTTACACTTGCTATAATTAGGGTCATCGAGTATATAACCAGAAATAGAGACGAAATGTCATTTACTTTGTTTGAAAACTATTCTGCCATATCATTGCTGTGACAACTGCGCTCCGATTGGCTAGCCCGAGATCGATCGTCAATTGTTTAATTGACGGGTGTCGTCAACTGTTTCACTTCAAATCCACCGTTAACTTGAGCTTTGCTATAATGGACGAAAATTGCAAAATTACGTATTTAATATTTAATTACCGATGAAATGTGATTCCGTTTGTTTTGTAATTAGATGTTTTGCTGTTTTTCCCACACCACCGAATAGAACATCACGGTATTGTTAGAGATATTGTCTTTATTACAATAAATACAGAATATTTTTTGGAATATACGGAGACATACACAAAGGTAGTTGGCCTGTCTATATTTCAGTGCAAACGAGAAATATATGGCCCTTATTTCGTCTCTATTTCTGGTTATATACTCGATGATTAGGGTTAACCACGGAGTATATGGAAACGGCATTTAAAGCAATTTCTTCGAGAACTAGCGTAGCTGACTTTAAAATGCACACATTTGTTACCAAATACGCATAAGGTTTTACTACACGCAAATATTAATTGATATAACCTACACAGGCGTGTGCGTGCCTATACGTAGCTACATGCTATAATCATAGTAGTAATGATTTATTATCCGCTCACGCGATGCGCTCCTCCCGCCGCAAAATGGCGGCTATTTGGTTTGGCAAATTAGAAAAGGATTCAGTTTAAATACAAGTTTTTATAAATAAAAATTATTATTCTGCATTGCTAAATAAATACCCTCCGTAGGTACTACCAACAAAAACATCTCAAATAAAATGCAGTAAAACACCTCAAATCTTTCTTGGATTTCTTGGATTGGGGAGTGTTCGTAAAGAACCGAGTAAGAGAAGTACATAGAGGATCTAAGATAAATGACTAGCGTCATATCGCAGGTTACTTAAATCCGGCAGATCTTCATTCTAGGGGCTGCCAAGCAGACGGTCTATTGAAACAGAGGTGAAATAGCCTTGTTCCAGGTTATACAGAAAGAAGTTTTTGGTAAAAAGAGAACGTATAAAGACCTGTCCACAGTGACAGATTCACATGGTTTAATTAGAGTCAAAACAAAGTTGTTTTCCGAAGAAATTCCGTCTAGTTACAGGTTTCCAATTTTGTTACCAGGTGACTACCTATTTTGT